GGACAAAGTGGGCCCACCCACAGGGATTACAACTGAGATGGGAAAAGGCACAAAAATGATGTAAAAACAAGCTATTATAATATTAAAAAAAAAAAAAAAGTGGGCCCAGAGAGGCCTGAACAGAGCTACAGGCTCAGGATTGTGATAGGGGCTGGGAGCTTTGGAGACAATAGTCTTGGGAAGACTAGGAAATTTGGGAAGAAATCATCTGTGGGTGGTCAGTCCAGGAGAAGCTGGTGTAGTTGCAGTGAAGGCAAGTGCTGACTGGAAGACTGGACATGATCGCAGGAACAGGAAAGGAGAGGCGCTTCCAGCCTGAGGGAAAGTGGCCTCAACTGGACTAGAGTTGCCATTTCAGAGCAGTGATCATTCAAGGTCATATGCAGCATTCCCTGGGAGCGCGTGCGCACACAGACAGATACACACACCTTGAGAAGCAGAAGCAGGGCAGAAAGGAGCTGCTAATTTATGCATATTCACATAACACCAGACTTCCCTGGAAGGCAGCCTGCTCTTGCTTTAGCACAGCTCCGGAGCCACCTTCTCCTGCTCTCTGCCTTTCCTCCCTCTAGCCACTGCCATCACCATGACAGGCTCGGCTGGTCAGTTAGTATTTCTTCGCTCCTACTGTGTATGCATCGCTTGAACACCTGCAGAACGTACCTCCGGGAGAGTACAGGGTTCCCGGCCCTGGCCTGGTCAGCAGCCCTTGGTACTCCTGTCCAGCCCTCCCTCCAGCTTGCCCACCTTCCCCTCTGCAGAAGGCGGGAGCCCACCATCCTCACCTTCCACCCCAGCCCAGGTGCTCACGAGCAGGCTGTGACCTGCTGGTCTGGGAAAGTCTGGCTTGGTGCCCATCGGTGTTCCAGCTCTTGGCCTCTACCTCCCACCCCAGGAATGGCAGGGAGGACACAAGAGAACTGACCTGGAACCACCCTAAGGGAAGAAGCCAGGCAAGTATCAGAAGAACTGAAACCTTGCACAGTCGGGAGGAAGGGCTCTGTGTGAGTCACAGCAGCAGGCTCGCCCTTACCTAGAGGTCTCTTAGCAAAAACGTCCTCACTGCCATACCACCAGCCAGCCTCAGACGAGGAGCAGAGTCTGCAGCACAGAACAGGAGGAGAAAGGGTAGAAGACAAGGAAGCAGCAGAGAGGGAGGAAGAGGGAACTAAGTGCCCTGAAAATGACTGCAAAACTGACCCTCTCCCATCCATCCCTGTGGGGAGAGGCCATCACAGGCACCGGATGCCTTGCCAGTCTCCAAGATGCAGAAGATTATTCATTGGATGAATCAACCAGACTCGGTCGCTGGCTGGATGTGGGCGAAGGAGTGGCAGAGGTACTTGTGGTGTGGCCCTTGAAACAGGGAGCTCCGAGAAGCAGGGCAGGCGGGGTGAAGGGAGGCCTAGTGAGAGGCAGCTGTGAAGAACAGAAGCTACCACACACTTGACAAGTGAGTGTGGAGCTCAGCTCTCCCAGGCCTGGGTGGGAGAAATACAGCCCAGTGTTTCATTGAGTCGTCTGGCAGACACTCCTTACCCATTCGCCCTCCTGGACTGCTCTCCTGGAGCACCCCAGCCCCCTGCCTCCTGCCTGAAGGGAAGGTGCCAGGTTCGAAAAGGCCTCAGAGAACTCACTGTATGAGCAGGGGCTCAAGAGGTCCTGCTATCCAGCCTTCTGCTCATTCCTCTTCCTGCCTCTAGAAGCTGGGCACCAGTGTGCGAGGGAGATGATTCTGGACAAAAGCTCTTCCTGTTTTGTGAGAGCTGACAGTGGATGTGAGGCAGGACTGCAGGAGGTAAAGCCCAGACTCCTCTCCACTGGGCTAGAATCACTCACTGCTCCGCATCTACTCAGGTGTGGGGTGCTGGGATCTTCCTCACCTGTAAAGTGGGATAACAACGCCTCTGTCATAGCGTTGATGTGATGAAGATATCAACGAGTGCATAATAAAGTACCAAGAGCAGGGCCTTGGACATATTATTATTGTTATTATTATTTAACTGTCCTAACATACTTGCCAGGCTTCTACTGAAGTCAGGAGGGTGGAGCTGCAACATGCATGGTGTGACTGTCTCCCACTGACTCACCAGTGGGTTTAGGGTGTCTCCCTCAGACTCAGCCTCAGTCCCGAGCCCCCTCCAGGCTTCAGCCTCGGTCACCTACCTGCTGAGCGATCATGCCACCTGAGCCCCCACACAGGTGTCCTCAACTACCTGCCTTGGTGGGAAGCAGGGGCTGTGCCTGCCAGTAATAAGAACAGGTAGTAGAACAGCCATTCTCTGGTCTGCCTGGCCACTACTGAACAGGTCATTACCTCAGTCTTCTAAAAGAGAAGGAATGAGAAAGACCTGGAAAAAGAAAGGCAAAGGAAGAGTAGTATTGAGAGGGAACACAGATGGGGAAAGTGGGCTTAGAATATTTTCATTTTAACTGATTTGCATGACTTTCTTTGGATCCTGTCTCCCTCCCATCTATACATGTTCCACTTCATCCTGTAGCTTTGTCTGCAGCACACAATATATACACAAAAGTAGGCATGGGGGCTCAGGAGAGCCAGAAATTGGGCTCAAGATCCTGCTCTATCATTTACTGGTAGTGTGAACTAGGCAAGTTGCTTATCACTTCTGAACCTCAGATTCCACATCTGTAAAGTGGGACTAACACTACATTTCCCAGGGTAGTGGCAGAGATGCGTGTCTGTGAAGTACTGGGAACATTGCCAGGCACCTATAGGTTACTGTGCTCTGCTGAGAGCTCGGCCGGTAACTTACCTTTACTCTCCTGCCCCTTTTCCTCCTGTCCAAAGCAGGGGCCATGTAAATACAGAATGAGGGACTCTTTATTGACCCAGCTGCCTGCCTGCCCGTGGAAACTCCCCAGCAAGAACTTCCAGATCAGGTCCCTGGCCTCGAACCTGAAACTTCAACTCGCTTCCCACCCTTCACCTCTAACTCTGCTGGATGCGCATCCCCTCACAGACCTGCACCCATTAGCCGGCCACTACCCAAACAGTGCTCCATCTTCCAAATTCCCAGCACTTGGGTGTGTGACTGGGTTTGGGCCTCAGCCCAGATTCATTCTCAGGTTCCCCTCCTTCCCTGGAGGGGTGTTTAAAACTCCACCATCAGATGTCAGGTGGTAACATACAGCTGAGGTGTGATCCTACAGCTTTAAATCACTTAAGGTGTTGTAACCTTGATTTAGAAAAAAAGGTGTTGCCAGTTTAAACTTCCATAGTTTCTCAAAGTGTGCACAAGTGATAATCAAGTAGGGGGAGGTTATTCAAAATATAGATTTTTCCATTTCATGTCAACAAGACAATCAGAATTTGGGGGCTGGAATTTGTATTTTTAAAAAAAGATTTAGTTATTTATGCATACAGAACTGGGGTACAAGGCCAGAGGTGCAGGGGAGGTGAAAGGATTCAGAGACAGAGGGGAGCAGTACAGGCTGACTGACAAAGTACACTGTTGAGGGGAGCAGCGGGCGGCAGCGGGCGGGTCAGGAGAGGTCTGCCAGCCACATGTGGGTCACCTCCGGGCAGGTGGGGGGGGGATGGAACTCGTGGTGAAGTGGCTTTAGCTTCTCCGTGCTGTGCTTTAACACGCTGTGCCACCAGGGAGGGCCCTGGAATTTGTAATTTTTTTTTTAAAATTTATTTGTTTGTGCATACACAACTGGGGTACAGGCCAGAGGCTCAGGGGCGGTGAGAGGCTTCACCAGAGACAGAGTGGGGAGCAGAACAGGCAGATCGACGAAGTACACTGCCGAGGTGAGCAGCGGGCGAGCCAGGAGAGGTCTGCCACACCATGTGGTCACCTCCGGGGCAGGCGGGAATTGAACTCATGTAGAAGCCGCTTTAGATTCTCAGTGCTGTGCTTTAACCCGCTGCGCCACCAGGGAGGGCCTGGAATTTGTATTTTGATAAGATTGTTTCATACATTAAAAGTGGAGATTTTAATCATGACGTCCTTCTGCAAGAAAAATAATCATTGGTGACAGATGGGGCTCATGTTCCAGAGCAAGAAGGCTGAACTGTTAGCCGAGTGTCTTCCCCAGTAGCTGCGAGCTCCGAAGCAGGGGGTTGGGGGTAAAAGATGGGGCGATAAAGGGAGTGCGTCCTAGAAAGCTAGGGGCGGGGTGTGCTCATTTCACTTGCTGAGCAATTACCGCACGCAGCAGCAGCAGCGGTCCTGGGGCGACCACTCAGAGGAGGAGTGGGATGTCGAGCCGCGCGTCCAGCCACCTGCGCGCTTGTGGAAACTGAGGCCCAGGGCCTCGGAACAGCGTCAGTCTAAGACAGCACAACCCAAGCCCTCCGCCTCCATTCACCCCGCCGCCAGGGGAGCGCGCCTTGGGCTCATGGTCTGGAAAATCCCTCTTCTCCAAGCTGAACAACATTCCCGCCCCCACCCATTCCGAAGCAGCCCTTCTCCAGCCTCAGTGTCCCCATCGGCTCGGGGATGCGGCTGTGGGGCCAGGTACGCGAGCCCAAAGGCTGGAGGCGCGGCAGCGGGATTCCCCACGGGAAAGCAGCCCGAGCCCTCCCCCAAGTTGTACTAGACCCTGAATCGAAACAGGAGGCAGGACGCCCCCGGCCGGGAAGCGGCCCCAGCCCGGATTTCCCTCCCGGGTGGGGCTGCAATGACTCACCCTCGCCCTCCCCCCACTTTCCTTGTTTGCGTTTCTCCTCCCGGCCACGTGGCGGCCGGGCCAATCTCTCACCGTTCCTGCCCCAACACCCCGTCGCTCCAGCCGGTGGGGTTCCTCAGGGCTGTGACTCGTGCCAGCTCCGCGTACCCCGGCTCCCGACTCCACCTCCTGCCCATGCCCGCCCCCTTCTCTGCGCCCTGCCCTACGGTAAAGCCCGTCACCTCCTCCTAGCTCCCTCAGCCGATCCCGGGGAGAGGAAGGGGCGGGCAGCCAGGGGGTGTGACAGCTCCCGCCCGGACCAGTGCCAGCCGCAGCTCCGCTTCAGCACCCGGTGCCAGCTGGCTCGTTGGTCTGGGACGGAGGCGGAGGCTGGGGGCTCCTTGTCGCTGGGGGGGCCTCCCCCCCATCCCCAAGGTTTCAGCCCTCGACCCACACAAGAGGAGCCTCTCCACTCAGCTTTGCCTTCTGCTATCCACGGGGCCCCTCAGACTAGAAACTGGCCCGGTCCACTGCGCCCCGGACTTACAGCCCTCAACCCCCTGGGGTACCCCCTTTCTGAGCTGAAGGGCACTTGCTGCCCCACCTTCCCCTCAGCCTTTTGTTACCGCCTGCACAACAGTTCCAGCCTGAGAAGGACCATGAAGGTGGGTAAGGTGGGTTGGATGAGGGGAAACAGCAGAAGCCTGGAGTTTGGATGAAAGAGGAAGGGTTGTCTAGGGGTGGTGGAGGAGGGGAGAAGAATTTAAGCCAAGCGGCGATTCTGGAGATTTGGTGAGTTGAAAACCTCACTCTGGGAGGTGGTGGTGATCCTTGCAGGGACATGGGCAAGTGGGATGGGCACAGAACCCCAAACAAGCCTGGGTAGAAGGGGCTAGTCCCGTGTGTACCCGCTGGAGACCCCCAAGGGAGGACTGCAGGCCCCAGTGAAGGTCTTGGTCCAGTCCCGGCTCCTGGCAGGGCTGTTCCACCCGGCCTGACTAGTCGAGAGAAGTGCAAGGAAGTGGTTCTGCCTGGGGCGGTCGCTGCTGGTCCTGCTGCCCCGGCCCCATGGTGGTCCGCTTTCCTCCCTGTGTCACAGGTGGGCTGGCCAGGTGAGAGCCGCTGGGAGGTGGGCCTCGCTGTAGAAGATGGCCCAGCTCTGGGAGCACCAGCAGTGGGGGGGCTTCCAGATTTGGTGCCAGAGGGGACGCTGTTCAACATGGTGCTGAGGAGGATGCACCGGCCCAGAAGCTGCTCCTACCAGCTGCTGCTTGAGCACCAGCGCCCCAGTCGCATCCAGGGGCTTCGCTGGGTGAGTGCCCATCCTCCGCCCTGAGCAGAGTCAGGCAGGGACCAGGGCTTGGAGGGGGCCCTGCACTGGGAGCTCAGCCATGCTGCTGGTGACCTAGTGTGCTCTGTAGGTGTAAGGGGTGCTGCTGATGTGGACGATGGGTGGGGAAGCTGGATTGCAGTGGATGAATGGCTCACACAGCTGCACCGTTTATATCTGTGTACGGGCCTCTGTTTGGATATGGGGTGGGGGGAAAGAAAGGATTTGCTTGTCTCCTCTGTGCGATGGGCATTAGGTGCTGGTATGTTCTCCAGGTGGGGGTGAGAGGCATGTGAGAAATACAGGGACCCAGCCAGGTCTAGTGGGCAGTGAGGTCAGCCTGGTATCACCGTGGCAACATTCTTTAGTGAGCAACTGAACCGCGCTGATTCTGCTTTTTGGTCTTGGGATGGGGTGGTCATGGGAACACTGCTTGGCATCTGGCTTTGGGGGTTCAAGGGAGATTTCTGAGAAGTTTGGAGACTCTGAGGTGACAGGAACTCATTTTGCCATTGAAGAACATCCCTGGAGCTGCAAGAATGAAGGAGAAAGCAAGAGAAAAATGGGGGGGTGTAGTGGGGGTGAAGGCAGCATAATGATTTTTGGATGCAAATTAGTGGAGTTCTTCTCCCATTATGTGCCCCACCTCTGGGGGGGTTGGGGGGAGGGCAGAGTGGTGCCAGTACATGGCTGCAGGGCTGCAGGGAAAATGGGTGCAGGTGGCTGACTTGGGAGAGCACATCTCATAAGGGTATGTCCCCTTGAGTCAATTGACTACCACTTTATTCCTTCCTTTGTCAACTCCATTTTTACTTATTAAACTATGAGAGGGACCACCAATAAGAGGACTGAACTTGAGCACTGAACTTGAGAGACTCTAGGCGTCATTCTCCTCTCTTCTCCAACTCTTCCCTACCTCAGTCATCCTTTTAGACCTGGGTCTTGCTCAAATTGGGCTCTGGAGGGGAGTGGGGGAGCTGATCCCTTGTGGGTTGAGCAGCCCCCCACCCTACCTAACTGGCAGTAGCTACTGCTTGGAGCCAGTGGGCTGGAACCCTCCCTCCTCCTTCCCTCGCAGGCTATAATTACTTGTGCATTTCCTGTCCCCTTCCTAGCTCAGTAGAAGCAAGGTAGAGAGTGGGGGGAAGGTCAGGTGTCAGGACAATGAGGTCACTGGAGGATCCCCTGAGACCCAAAGTCTAGGAAGGGGTGGAGGAGGCCGCCAGGCAGTCTCCTGATTCCCCCTGTACCCAGAATGGAAGGGCTCCTGTGCCTGGGAAGCGTGAGGTTACTGGAGTGTAAATGGGGTCAAAGGCCTCTCCCCTGCCAGGTGTGTGTGTATGGGGTGGGGGGTGTGGTAAAGGGGCTTGGCGATTACTGGGAATTTAGATGTTCCTGCTGGGGGCAAGGGCATACCCTGTCCTGGTGGAAATAGGGACATTTCAATCCCCTGCAGTGTGTTTAAGAGGTTCTGGGTATACCTGTGAAGTGGCATCTCACCTCCTCAGGGTGCCCATAGCCTAGGGAAGCAGGGCCAGACAGGCAGAGTCTGCTGACACAGGGTGGAGGGCAGAGCCCCACGACAGTGCTGAGTGTTACTCAGGCCGTACCTCCCTCCTGCAAACATGGGGGGATCCATCAACGTGAGGTCTGAAGAGAACACTTTCTGTTCCTACTTGACTGGAACAAAAGAAAATGAAAGCTGACTGCAGCAGGAGAAGCAGAGGTTAGACACAGAAAGGACTTACCAGTACTGGCAGAGGCGACCCTGCGGCCATGAGGAAGAACATCTCCTTTGGAAAACACGATGCGGAGAGGTGACTGCGTCTAATGCCTTTGAGCCAACAGAGGCATGACTGTCCAGCAACAGATCAGGATGGCCTCTGGTGGGCCCCGCAAGCTCAAGGAAGCCAGTTTCTCTTTGAGTGATTGTCTTGGGAGGTGGCTCCATTCTGTCAACACACCCAAATAGTGATGGCAACTGATAGTTATATAGTACTTATGTCCCAGGCACTATTAAGAGAGCTTTACTTTCTTTTTTTACTTTAGATTTATTTTATTTTTCATTGAAGTAATATTGCATAATAACACTATAGAAGCTTCTGGTGCATCACTAAAAGCCATCGTATATACTTACATTAAGTTTAGCACTGAAAGTCCACTTCAATCCCTTGCCATGAAATTGATTCCTTGTACCCAATTCTGTCAGCCCCTCCCCACTTTCGTCTTCCTTTCTAGTAACCCTGAATCAAATAAGAGCTTTAGCAAGTCACCATACAACAGCCCTGTGAGATGACACTATGTCATCTTGCTGTTAAAGGTGAAGAAACAGAGGCACAGAGGCTGTGGGACAGGCCGAGTGTTACCTTGCTGCCTTTGGTCCTGGGCACTCTGGCTCAGAGTTCAGGCACTGACCTCCACGCCCCTGCGCTGTGCATCCTTTCTGTGTTCTACCTGGCACAGCCCTGGCCTGTGACCCTCCTTGTGGCCGAAGGGAGCTGGTCTGATGGCTGCCTGGCTCTGTGCCTGCCCCTCTTGCATGACTGTCACTTGGCCACAGCAAGGGGCTGACTGTGGTTCTGGTGCCAGGGGACTTGCTGGTACCCCAAGTCTTTCCTAGTTGGGCCTGAGAGGAGGTAGTGGGTGAGCGGCTTCACCTTGACCTTTCATGGCCTTTTCTTTTAGACCTCAGTCTAAGCTGACAGACAGGATCACAGGATTAGGGACACAGGCAGCAGGTAACATGTGGACATCACGAAATAGTAAAGTCCAATCAAATTATTTAACATTGACTGAGGAATTATTGCCGCCAGACACTACTCTGAGTGCTTTGTACTATTAATTCATTTGATCCTCAGGGTACCTATGAGATAGTTATTGTTATTACCAACATCATCTGACAGATGGAACTGAAGCACAGAGAGGGTAATGTGGAGTCCAGGTCACACAGCAGTGGTAATAGGGAACTAGGTTTTGAACTCAGGTGTACAGCCCTGGAGGCTGCACACTTGTCTAGTTCCCTTGAGTCACTCACCCCACCCTGATCCTTGGAGGGTCCCCGAGGTTCCCAGTGTGCTCAAACATTTTAGGAACCTTGGTAACAAACCTAGTGAACTTTGTTTAACCTGGTGTTTTCTGAACTCACTTGCCCATGAGACATTCCTGTTTTTGCTTTCATGACACATGAGGGAGGAGACACAGGGAGATGGAGGGGCTCGGTGGCTAAGAGCTAGGGCTTTGGAATGTGCCCCTATTTACCATCTCTCGGGGCAGGTTATATATAACCTTTGAGCCTCTTTTCTAGCTGCGAAATAGGAGATAAGCAGCCACTTCCAGGGCCAGTGTCAGTAGCAGTGTTATCCAGTAGGATCTTAAATTTCTAAGCAATTGGACAACTTTGAATATGTTACTTACATCTCTGGGGGTTCCTGCTTTACTTGGCAAAGAGAGAGGATGAGAGATACACCTTCAGGATCCTTTCTTAGCTTGGCTGGCAGAACTGGAAGCAAGGCCTGTGGATCTAGGGTCTGGGTCAGGACCAGCCTGGCTATGACCTGGCACCTAGCCCCCTGATGTGCCCTCTGGGGTCAGAATAATACCAGGAAGGGAGCATATGCTGGAGCCTGGGTGACAGACACCAAAGGGAGTTGGGGCAGCGACTGGGGCTGCTGCTTGAGCATTTAACTGGGAACAACAACAAGTCATTAGCACTCAACACTATTTGTTCCGACACAGGGGCTGACTGGGTAGCATTCCTGCCCTTCCTCCTTCCTGGCTCCTCCTCCTCCTCCTCATTTCCTGTCCTGAATCTCCAAGGCTCTGTGTCTGGCACCAGACTGGGCCCCATGACCCGGGCAGGGATACCCTGGGGACACCTAGGACTTCCGCCCAGCCCTGGGCCAGGCGCCTAGACACGTCAGCCCTTAGGCCTCTGCCTGGCGCTTTGGGAAGATTTAGGATCAGGGAAGGGGCTCTGGCCCTGAGCCTGGTTGTCCTCTAGCTCCTAGCCGGGTCCTTTTCAGAGACCTGAGTGCAGATGGGAAAGCTGGGGAGGAGAGAAAAGTCGGGAGCAGAAACAGGCAGGTGCGGTGGGTAGACGCCAAGAAGGTGAACACTCCTGGGTAGGAACTGGAGTCGGCCATTGCCGCCTGGCTGTCTCAGGCACATGTGACTGATTTGCAAGGGGCACTTTACTCCAAGACTTTTGTTTCCTCACAGGAGGGCAGATCTGCTCTGCCTACTTCACATCTGATCCTATTTTATATAGGATCACAGGAAACCGTGGAGGTGGCCTTGCTTTGTAAGCTGTAAAGTGCTCACGGGAAGCTAGACATCCTGTCCAAAGATGTCTCAGGTGGCAGGAAAAGAAGCATGGTGAGGGGCCTCTATGGCCAAGTCAGGGGCACACGGACTGGGGAGTCCTGGATGGCTCGATGGCTGCCAAGGACAGGGACCTTGTTAATAGTCTTTCTCCACAGACCTGTGTCTGAGTCAGCGCTGTGTGCTGCCAGGTCTTACCTGCTCTCACAGGGTCCTGGACGCACAGCGTCTCAGGGAGGAAAGGGGCCTTGCAGCTAGCTGCCCTGCCCTGTGCTTCACAGATGAGTAATAACAGCCAACATGTGTATGCGACTCTGCTGGGTGGTGCTTTAAACATTCGATACCTATTAACTCAGTCCTTCCAAAAGCCTGACGTTTTATTATGAGTGTTATGTAGCTTTTATAGACAGGGAAACCGAGGCAAGGAGAGGTTAATGCTGGGGGCCATGCTGCCAGTCCAGAAGAGCAGGGGTTTGAATCTAGGAGTGTGGCTCTGGAAGTTATATTTTTAGCTACCTGGCAGTGCAAGGCCCATAGAAAGCAAGACATTTGCCCAGTCTGTCCTGGGGCTGGAAGCAGATCAGGCCTTGTGATCCAACCCAGGAGCAAGTGTTCTGGAATCTTAAGGGCCACTTCCTGGCCTCTCATGGCCTTCTTATCTCACATCCACAAGCTCCTATGCTCTACCTGGGAGCCTGGGCATGCCTGGGTCTGGAGGCAGCAGCCTGGGGATCTGTGGGGAGACAGTGTTTGGGCTGGGAGACAAGGCTCTGGTGATAGAGTAGCTGGCAGCACATTTCTGGCACATGGGCTGCTCATTATTTGTAGATTTGTTGCTTGAGTAGCTAAACGGATGCATCTGGAGCCGGGGACTGGGCATGGGGTGGCCGTGGTAGAGAAGAGGCGGGGCCCGAGAACTGGGTTTGAAGGCCTGGCACTAACATGCAGACCCTCTCCTCTCCCCGCAGACGCCCCTCACTAGCAGTGAGGAGTCCCTGGATTTCAGCGGGAGCCTAGAGCAGGTACAAGCCCTACAGAGTGGCCCTGGGAGGAGAGGGTCTGGTGGGGGTTTGGGGCCTCAACCAGCTGCGCTGCCCTCCCCTCAGACCTCCACTGAGCGCTTGCTCAGGACTGGGAGGCAGCTGTATCGGCATCTGCTGGCCGCTTGCCCAAACCTCATCCGAGACAGAAAGTACCACCTCAGGCTCTATCGGTGAGTGGAGGCCCGCCTGCCCGTCCCCACCGTCTGCTCTCCCCTTCACTTTGTTCCAGGCATCTGGCTTAGCTCTGCTCTGGCAGAACTGGTACTGGACCTGGGCCTCGGCCCCTCTCTCCGCCCTCCAGCTGTTTGCTCCCTGTCTCTTCCTGTTCCCTTCCTCTCCTGTAGGCAGTGCTGCTCTGGCCGGGAGCTGGTCGATGGGATCTTGGCCCTGGGGCTTGGGGTCCATTCCCGGAGCCAAGCCGTGGGAATCTGCCAGGTGCTGCTGGATGAGGGTGCCCTCTACCACGGTGAGCCCATGCCCAGGGTGGGCACCGGGGCCAGGCAGTCCTGGAGAGCAGACACCCAGGGCCGAGGAGGGGGTGGGCATCGCAGTGGGGACTCATATCCCCATGGTCTTAATTTCCTTTCCTCTTCCACCTCTGGGCCTCTGCCCACAGTGAAACACAACTGGACCTTCCAGGACCGAGACACCCAATTCTATCGCTTCCCCGGGCCGCAGCCAGAGCCCGTGGGCGTTCATGAGATGGAGGAGGAGTTGGTTGAAGCTGTGGCCCTGCTCTCCCAGCGGGGGCCTGATGCCCTACTCACGGTAGCACTTCGGAAGCTGTGAGTGGGGAGTCTTGTGCACTGCGACCCCAGATCCCACCTGGCTCTCAGACCCCAGTGCTGCTCAGATCCTCCAAAGGGACCCCTTACTTCTTGCTGAGGGAAAGGGCCCAGGCTGGTTCTAGAGAATGGACCATGGCCAGAAGTCTGCCTGTGGCTGACTGTCTCCCCATTGCTGGACCTATTTCTCCCACCATGACCGTGGGTGTGGGGCACATGGCCCCCAAAGTCACTGCCCATTCTGGGGCACAATAGAGATTGAGAGAGAATGAGCTTGGAATCTGCAGGGAGGTTTGGGTTCAAATTCCACTTCCGTTGGCTACTGGCTGGGCAGATTGGGTTGCTCCTTGTCACCTTCCTGTCCTGTCAGATGAGGATAACCAGATCCATCTCATGGCGTAATGCCTGTAAGATGCCCCATTCATTGTCTAGGCGCCCAAAGTAAAGCCTGGCCCTTACTGATAACCACTGTTGCTGAGGCAGCGGTAGCCCTGACCCAAGCCAGGTGGGTGAGAGGGCTCCCCTTGCCTGGCCTTGGCCCACGGTTCCTTGTCGCTTCTTGGCCCTTCTGTGCCCACAGCCCAGGCCAGCGCACAGACGAGGAGCTGGACCTCATCTTTGAGGAGCTGCTGCACATCAAGGCGGTGGCCCACCTCTCCAACTCGGTCAGTCTGCAGGCCTGCCCCGCCTGCCCACTTCCACACATATTCCACAGACCTCTTGGAGGCCTGGCGGTGGGGCCAGGACTCCCCCTGCTTCTGCCAGTAGTGTGGATGTTTCAGTCTCACTTCTTGCCTCCAGCATCCTTTCTGTCAAGCTTTCTTCCTCAGCTCATTTCCTCCCCTGACTTTGTCTCCTGCTGAAGTCCAGGTCACCTGACCTAGGCACACCTCTGACCCTCGAGCCCTGTGTCCTTGGATGTAACCCCTCACACCTAACCTCATGCTTCTCTCTTGGGCTCATCGGCTGGGCCTCCTCTCTCCACCCCAGGTGAAGCGGGAACTAGCAGCAGTTCTGCTCTTTGAACCACACAGCAAGGCAGGGACCGTGTGTAAGTCTGGCAGGGGACAGGAGTTGGGCAGCAGGGTTGGACATGGGCAGAGGCCGTGGAGAAGGGGCAGATGCCAGCAGAGCGTGTCTCATCTGTGCTTCGCTAGTGTTCAGCCAGGGGGACAAAGGCACCTCGTGGTACATTATCTGGAAGGGCTCTGTCAACGTGGTGACCCACGGCAAGGTGAGTGCTCCCTCCTTCCCAGGCCCCTGGCCTGTCACACTCCCTGCCCATGTCCTCATGGTGAGAACCTAGGGTGGTTCTTCCCCGTCCTGGTGTGCTGGCAAGGGCTGGGGTTGGGCTGGGCTCTGAGTGAGGCTTGGCTGCAGGGGCTGGTGACCACCCTGCATGAGGGAGATGACTTCGGGCAGCTGGCTCTGGTGAACGACGCACCCCGGGCGGCCACCATCATCCTTCGAGAAGACAATTGTCATTTTCTCCGGGTGGACAAGCAGGACTTCAACCGTATAATCAAGGTGCCGTAGCTGGGGGTGGGAGACATGGCAGGGACACTTCTCTGGGTAAGTGGTGTGGAGCAAGCAGCTGGGGCCAGAGAGCAGGGAGAGGCAGGATACCAGACGTGTGGAGGAGGGAGGGGTGTGGGAGCACGGCTCAGGGATGGGAGGGAGGTCCAGCAGTACTGACCTCCTCCTTGATGTGGGAGAGGGGAGTGATGGTGGGGAGTAGGTCGGGGTGGGGGCAGGGTTATGAAGCCTGAGGAGGCTGGGGAGGATGTGATGAAGGAGCAACACAGGAGGAGGCCAGGCTGTGTGATGCAGTGGAAGGATGGGATAAGCACATCCGGGGTTGTGAGTGTTGAGCAGAGTGGGGGGAGGGCTGGGGGTCCTGTGTGACTCAGGCTCTGGGTCAGAGGAGGTGGAGGGAGGTGTGTTGATCAGTGATGGGGACTTGTTCTCCAGGACGTGGAAGCGAAGACCATGAGGCTGGAAGAGCATGGCAAAGTGGTGCTGGTCATGGAGAGGACATCTCAGAGTGCTGGCCCTTCTCGTCCCTCTCCCCCAGGCAGGAACCGGTAACCATCATGCTCCCTCTGCAACCTTCTCTCCTGTTTTCCAGACTTTACTCATTTTCCTCCTCCCCCCTGCCCCCGCCCCTCCGGGAAGAAAGAGGCATTCAGGGACTGAGATGTATCTGTTGAGTCAGCCCCCTCCACCTCAGGGCTGGCGCCTAGGCTGGAGCAAGCAGATTATGTCTGCCCGGGCCGTGAGGGAGGGGAGCAGAGCGGCACACATCCTGTGATTGCCATTTCTCCTAGGTACACGGTGATGTCTGGCACCCCGGAAAAGATCCTAGAACTGCTGTTAGAGGCCATGAGGCCTGATTCAAGTGCTCATGACCCAACAGGTAGGGGCAGGAGACACCTTGCCTGCACTCTGACTCACTGGGTGAAGCTGAGAGAGGGCCAGGAGCTCTCCCTCTGACCACATCCGGTGCTGGGCTGGTCCATTTGGCCAGCTAGCAGGAAGTCCTCATGCTGTGCTCTTGGTTGTGTGGGGGCACTGTGATGGGGCTGGGAGTTGCTGGTTCCTTGCCTCTGGGACTTGCTGGAGGGACTGAGGGAAGAGACACTGTAGCGGTGCAGATACCTGTGCTCAGTAGACCTGTCCTCTGACGCTCTCCTCCTGCCCCCATCTCTGCCCCACAGAGACATTCCTCAGCGACTTCCTCCTGACCTACAGCGTCTTCATGTCCAGCACTCAGCTCTGCACTGCCCTGTTGCACCAATATCCTTCCTGTCCCTGGGTGATTAGGATCGTGGGAGGGGAAGGAATCCTTCATAGCAAGGTCGTGCTGAAATCTTCAAAGGAGAGCTTCACCGCAGGCCCACATGCCACTGCGGGCTGCCACCCCTCCCCTGCCTGGGGCTCGGAGGTTGCCCAGTTGCTTGCTGTGCTTCCCTTGACTGGCCCCCACTTTCCACGCGGAGCCCACTGGTAGCAGCGAGCAGGAGCGCAACACCTACATCTGCAACAAGAGGCAGCAGATTCTGCGACTGGTTAGCCAGTGGGTGGCTCTGTACGGCCCCACGCTCCACACTGACCCTGTGGCCACCAGCTTCCTCCAGGTACCTGGAAGGGAGATGGGCTGAACCGGGCAGCTGGGGCCGCACAGGGCGCCGTCTCAGTGAACCTCACCTCCTCCCAGAAACTCTCGGACCTGGTGAGCAGGGACGGCCGGCTCAGCCACCTGCTGCGGGAGCAGTGGCCGGAGAGGCGGCGACACCACAGGTGCTGCTTTGAGTCGTCGTGACGGGAGCACACTGGGTGGGGGCCTGAGCACCAGACCAGGAGCCAGACTCACCCCTTCAGCCCAGGCTGGTCCACTGGCAGCTGTGCCGCCCTGGACACGTCACCCTTCTTGGGGCTTTGAGCTCTTGTCTGGAAAACTGGGAGCATGTCTGCCTCGTTATGAACATGGAATGGGCCCTGAGCCTGGAGCACAGAGTGCCCTGCCCGGCGCTGTTAAGCCTGGGCTGTGCGGCCCATGTCTGTACAGCCCTGCTTACTTCAGGCCGTTGTTCTTACCTGCCCCTCACTTGCATGCATCACACAGCTGCCGTGTGTCATTCCCATTTCCCCAGGGCACCTGCTGGGCTCACTGCCTCCGTCTGCCACATGCTGATTACACATATTTACTTATTACCGAGCACCCTTGGTGCCTCTTCTTTTGGCCCCACCCAGGAGATTTCTGAGTGCACCTTGCTGGGCCCTCTCAGACCCTCCCTCTGGCACAGCTGAGGGGCAGGGAGAGCCTGTGCCCACCTCACCAGTGTCCTTTGCCCCCTGGGACTCATCTTTCCTACTGACCCTGATATCCCCCTTAGAAAATAACAGACTCCAGGGTCCTGGATTTGCGCCCCACTCAGTCCCCTCTCTAGGTCATAGCCACTGAATCTGCTGTGTGAGTCTCTGGCATGCTAGCCCTGGCTGGGGCCTGTCTGGCCCAACCTCCCATCTCACCTCTCTCTCACTTGCTCCGCAGGTTGGAAAATGGCTGTGGGAACGCATCTCCTCAGATGAAGGTGTCTGCCCCAGATGGGCCCTCTCCCCTCTGTCTGGCCCCAGCTGCGTGTCTGTTGTGAGGGGTGCTGCCCTGAGAGTTAACCCAGTTCCGCAGCCTGTAGGGTGCCCAGCCTCCTCCTGCCTGTCCCTGACCCTTCAGCCCCTACTGATGCTCAGGCCCTGTCTTTTCTTCTGTAGGCGAGATTGTTTCCCCCTCAGGGCTAGGAACCTTCTTTCTCTGTCTCTGCCTATCTGGATCCTTCTCATTTCTCTGATCTTAGCCAAAATGTTGGTTCCAGACAGGGCCCTTATCCTCCCTGTCAGGAACAACCCCTCCTGATCCTGCCGTTCTCTATAAGATGTCCTCTCTGATCTTCACCGCATTATGCCCATGTAGATTGTTTCTGGATGCATATGCTGATTGTTAGACTCTGCCATGTTTCCCTAGATTGCAGGCTTCATGCATGTGAGGCCCTGACTCTTTCCCTGGGGCCGCTCAGTGCCCTGGCTAGTTCCCTGGAACCAGCATGGAATGGCCCTCATGTGTTGGGCACTGAGCGAGGTGCCCACAATGCCATGATATGTGGGGAGGGCAGCCCCAGCCTTTTGGGGAACAACAAGCCAGGACAGAGATGCTAAAGCACCTCCTGCTCTATAATGACAAATTCAGGGGTCTCTCAGTCTGAAAAGCAGAAGACTGATTTGGGTCAGGGTCAGGGTGAGTGTCTCCAGGGAAGTGACCACTAGAGCTAGAGCTGAGAGCTGTAGGATATAAGCGCTCAGGAGGAAAAACACTCCCGGCAGGAAGTGGGTAGAGAAGGGAAGAGAGCCTACTCGTTAGGACTGGGGGGGAAGGGAGGCCAGAGGAGGCAGAGAGATGGCAGGGGTCAGAGATGTGGGCCCTGGGCCCTGAAGAGGTTTTGCTGTTCTCAGCGAGACAAGCCACCGGAAGTGTTTGAACCAAGGATTGCAAGGTCAGATTTCTGAATCGGTCTGCTAAGGAGTTTGCGCTTTATCTGGCAGACGGCAGTGGCCTTGAAGCCCTGGTAGGAAAAGTGGGTTCTGTGAAGGCAGGCTGGAGGAGGAGGGGGGACGGGATGGAGGAGAGAAGTTGGGTTGGTGCAGCAGATAAGGTGCAAGTTGGCATGGGCTGGTGGAAATGTGTGTGGGGGGGGTGTTGGCACGGACTTGGGAGGAGGGGTCTTGGAGAACAAGCCCCAGAGCAAGTAATGAGCTGTGGGGAAGTGGAGGAGGTGAGTGCCCATCCACGGAGAATGACTAAGAGGAGTGGCCTGGGAGGTGGGATTATGGGGGCCCCATAGATGCACTGAATTTAGGGTGATGGATCATAGATACCAAAGGTTCTGGGAGGCATTAGCAACCAGGGCTTGGAAGAAAACTCAGTGCAGGTGGTATGAGCCTTCCAGAAGCCGGGGGAGCATGAAGCTGAGAGGAGCTTGGAGGGCTCAGATGTGGAAGTCTGGGGAGAACCACAGACTGGGGGATCTGTCATGTTCAAGCTGGGAGGAGGAAGAGAATCAGTGCGAGGGCTGGGGAGAACTGGGATGGCCAGAGCAAGCACACGGAGGGGGCTCCGCCATGGGGGTGGCTCCACTGTCCACTGTGGAGGGGCCCACTGAGGAGAGGCTGTCAATTCTGGTGGATAAGGGAGGGAGGGAGGAACAGGAAGATTCCAGTGTTGCTACTTTGCAGCTATGTGGCCTAATCTCTCTGAGCCTCATTTATCTCTTCCGTAAGATGGGGAAAATAATACTTTCATCAAAGGACTATTGTGATTATTTTGATACTTAGAATTAGCATGCACTTATCTTAACATGTAGCAAATAACAAACCAGCAAACTGGTAACTGAAGGCGAAAAAAGGAAGAGAAAACCAGAGTCAAACCTGAGGTGTGTCTAGATTACAACTGCTTGGCCTATTTTGCAAAGCAGATGCTACACACAGGGGTGCAGGCTCTGCTTCGAAGTGCTCTGTCCCCTCCCCTGGAGTCTGGGTTCCTGGCACCTCACCTGGGCGCAGGTTCATGTGGCAAGAGGAGCCTGCGGTGGTCTGTGTGCTGTGCGGGTCCCATATTCCCCTGGCGCCCCATGGTCTTACTTTCTCTTCTCCCAGGCCCGGAATGTGCCTAGTTGGCTCCCCAGTCAGGACGAGCCCCTCCCCAGCAGCGCCTGTGCCATTCGAGTTGGGGACAAAGGTCGGTGGCCCAAGCCAGCCCTAGTGTAGCTGTGCCCTGCTGTCTTCACCCTTGACTCGAGGTGGCTGGCCAGGGCAGGCCCGCTGTGCTCTGCCTCCTAGCTCCAGGCTGCCTCCCACCTGCTTCGTGCAGCTCAGACACCCAGGCTTCTACTAGGAGCTTTCCTCTCTTAAGGTGGGAGGGACCCCTCTTCCTCCAGGGGTGGGGAGAACACGCAATCCCCTCCTGCAGCTCAGCCTACTCTTCCTGTCTAGTCCCCTACAACATCTGCCGATCAGACCACTCAGTGCTGACCCTGCAGCTGCCTGTGACAGCCACAGTGAGAGAGGTGATGGCCGCACTGGCGCAGGAAGATGGCTGGACCAAGGGGCAGGTGTTGGTGAAGGTCAACTCCGCAGGTGGTGAGTGGTGTCTCAGAGCTATGCCCGGCTTCCCCCAAGTTAAATTTATCATCATCCTTATTATCTTCATCACTGTGAATGATGGTTAGAATATGGGTGGTTTATTCCATCTTTTCCTTTAAGTGCATGAACACTGGAGTCTACTCTCTGTATTTGATGTCAGTTCTCCAGCTCATTGTATGTCTTGGCAGGGCCCCTAATCTCTGTGTTCTGTTGCATCTGTAAAATGGAATAATAAGAGGACCAGCTTCTGAGGGGACTATGAGGATGAAATGTGTTTAGATGATCAAAGTGTTTAGAAAGGCGCCAGTCACAGCATAGCTCAGGTATGAACTGCTGCTATTAGTACTATTATGCTTCTATGCTTATGAATCCTAATAGCAGTCATATTAAATAGACACTTTTATCCTATTTTCAGGAAAGGGAAACCGAGGTTCAAGGAGATTAAGCAGTTTTTTTCAATCTCGCATGGTAAAGAAGGAGAGAGCTGGCCTTTGAATTTAGGTAGCCTTAATTTCTATTGGTCAGTCAGCAAACATTTCAGAGGTCTGGTTACAGGTCAGCAGAGTTGGGATCTAGGGTACCACGGCAGGTAAGATAGAACAGTGATGGCCAGAGCACCGACAGCCGGCTCCACCTGTTTTGGGGCTCCAGACGCCTGCCTACTGTGTGATCCTGGGCAAGTTGCTTAACCTCTCTGGTCTCCATTCCCTTATCTGTAAGTGAGCCCTGTGGTGGTCCTTATCACACAGGACTCTTGTGTGCAAAGCATTTAGCCTGCCCCTGGCCCCAAGAGCCCCTAGTGACAGGATTATTTTTAGACCCTTCATGGGAGAATTGGGCCTTTGGAAACATGGCTGTCCATGGAAAATGTGGCCCAGTTTGACAGCTGGAGCCAAGGGTAGACAGAAATGGAAAACATACAAAGAATGATGGCAGCGAGTGGAGGTGAGAAAAACAAAGCCTTCTCCCCTCCTAAGTGGGAAGATGAGGTCACCTGCCCCTGTGTGCTGCCCTCTGGTGGCCACCTGCAGACTTGCAGTTGCCAAAAGCCAGTTGTTAATATTGAGGACCCTGCATGTGCCAGGCAATGTTGAGAAACTGATTTCCAAACTATTGAAAAACAATATTTTATTATAAATCCCCTAATATGTGTATATTTTTATGTCATATACATATATCCCTTCACTAATGTAAAGCTACACACAAAATAATAAAGCAAATGAGAAAAATTAATAGAAAAAGATGAACTAACTTTTTCCTTACTCTCCTTTCTTGAGGCCACTGGTCTAGGGCCTGAAGACTCAAGCATGACTTAAAACAGTCCCATTTCACACGGAGCTGGTGAAAATGGACACTAAAACTTGTGGCTGACATTTCTCAGTTTCCCAAGTGCTTTCATATGCATTGTGTACATATACGGTAATTGCCTTGCGAGTGAGTAGTCAGAGCGAGTCTTATGTCTCCATTTGAAAAAGGAGGACACAAGCTGAAAGGGTTGCAGACTTGCTTGTCTCATAGGAGCCCCACTCTCCTTGTGCCCATGCGCACCTGTACATTTAGAGCACCTGCCCACCTCCTAGTCTCCCAGGTCAGGGCCTGCGCCAGCCTGGCTGCTCCCTGGCCTTGCTCCTGACCCCACCCAGTGCAGCTACTGCTCTCTTTGCAGATGCCGTTGGACTGCAGCCAGAAGCTCGGGGTGTGGCCACATCCCTGGGACTCAACGAGCGGCTCTTTGTTGTCAATGCACAGGAAGTACAGGAGCTGGTATGGACAGGCCAGGGTCAGGCCAGGGAGGGCCTCTGTAGGGTATAATAGGGACAGGAGCTGAGGGCATGAGGGGATGATGGGGACAGGGGGTGGGGATGGTAGAGACAGGGGCTGGGACCTGGGAGGGAATGATAGAGACAGGGCTGGGGGTGGGGGGAGGCCTGGGGGTGATGGGGTGGATACTGAGCTCAGGAGGGTGCGGGCTGAATCTGACTGATGCTGGGTCTTAAGAGGGAAGAAGGAGGAGTAGCAGGTCTTAGCTGAGGGGGATTCCAAAGATGGGGAAGGAACTTTCCAGGAGTAGGAAAGAGGAAAGAGGAAGAGGAAGAGGAGTAGAAAGAGGAGCCCGACAAGGAGAGGTCCTTGCATAGGACAGCGGTCAGGAAGAAGCCTCCTTGGGGACCCCTTCACTCCTTGCAGAACGCTGCTCTCCCCAACACTCTACCCCAGGCTCTACATTCTCTCCTCCCATCTGGTACCTTTCTCCTGGATTCCTCAGCCCCTACCCACCCTGAGCACTCTCTTGCAGACCCCCCACCCTGAACAGCTGGGGCCCACTGTGGGCTCTGCTGAGGGGCTGGACCTGGTGAGCGCCAAGGACCTGGCTGTCCAGCTGACCGAGCACGACTGGAGCCTCTTCAACAGTATCCATCAGGTGCGGGGCATAGCGGAGGGGAGGAAAGCCTGTGGTGGGGATACCCCACTTAACTGATAGCTTGCTCTGCCATACCCCCGACCAGGTGGAACTGATCCACTATGTGCTGGGCCCCCAGCACCTGCGGGATGTCACTACTGCCAATCTGGAGCGCTTCCTGCGCCGCTTCAATGAGCTGCAGTACTGGGTGGCTACAGAGCTGTGTCTCTGCCCTGAGCCAGGGCCCAGGGCCCAGCTGCTCAGGAAGTTCATCAAGCTGGCGGCCCAGTGAGTACCTGGGTGGGGTGCATGGCCAGAGTCCTGGGACAGCATATCCTGCCCCCCTTCCTGGTCAGTTGCTAAATGCATATCCCTCTGCTTCCCCATGTCCTTTGGAACCTCTGCCTTCCCTCCCCATCTGGCCCCAGTCCTGCCTCGGCCCTGCTGGCCTGGATGAGTTGTGTCCCAGGCCTGACTGTTGTCTGTGATGGGCACTGGGGTGTGGCTGCTTCCCTTGAGGATCTCTGGGTCTTCTGCTTACAGCCTCAAGGAGCAAAGGAACCTCAACTCCTTCTTTGCCATCATGTTTGGCCTCAGCAACTCAGCCATCAGCCGCCTGGGCCACACCTGGGAGGTTAGTGTCACTTGGGAGGAGGACTGGGCTTCCCTGACCCAGGTCTGAGTCAGAGTCCTGGTTGGGGCTGGGCTCCCACCCCAGAGCAGTGGTGGCTCCATCTGCTTCTCCTTCACAGAGGCTGCCTCACAAAGTCCGGAAGCTGTACTCAGTTCTGGAGAGGCTGCTGGTGAGTCTTGGACCTCAGCCCCTTCCTCTAGAAGCTGTTCTTGGCTTCCCTGAAGCCGTTCTTCCTCTCCGTGGTCACATCCAGTTTCCCACCCCAGGCCAGGGCCTGGTTCCCTCTGGCCTGTGAGTGAGCATTATGTTGGGGTGCACAGTGGGTCGAGTCCTCCATAAGCGTGTCTGGGGCACTTGGTGTGTCTGCGGGATCCTGTGTGAAGACCAGGACAGGCACGGGTGGCACCAGGAGAGCGGTGAGAGTTGGCAGGGCACCGTCCCAGCCTGCCCACCTCAGGGCTTGGGCGGCAACCCTGAAGCCAGCCCCATGGTGGGCCAGGCCTGCCAGGGCCCTCGGGAGACCTAAGGAGCCTGTGCCCGCTCAGGTAGGTGGAAGACAGAGTTGAAACACTGATACTTCTGCTCCCAGGAGTTTGGGGCATTGCAAGTGTTAACTGTGTCCAGGAAAAAACTGGCACAGAGGCACTTTAAGCAGCATGGCTCAGGGAGCTTTTGAGAAAAAAATTTACCTCATGGGACTCAAGTGGTTCAAAGGGATTTACCCACGCATGAGGCAGAGGCAGAAAAGGGAGACAGTGAGTTTTCCAGGAAACCTCATGTTTGGCCGGTTGACCAAAGGCGTGAAAGTTCTCTAAGGGCTTATCAGAGGCTCCTGCTTTTAGGCCAGTGGCCCCAGCTCAGGACCCTGCTGGTGGCCACAGAGCCTGCCTCGGGCAAGGAGAAGCTGTGTGCCCAGGAGATGGGCATTTGGTTTTGCTATGGCTTGTGATGGCTTGTGGGGTGCATGACCCTCCCTTTCTCACTGAGGCTTCTCCCCCATCAGGACCCCTCCTGGAACCACCGTGTGTATCGAATGGCCCTCACCAAGCTCTCCCCTCCCATCATCCCCTTCATGCCCCTTCTTCTCAAAGGTAACAGCGCTCACCTTCCTGCCTCCATCCCTCCTGTCCCCACCCCTGCCTGTCGGTTCACCCAGCTTTCTCTGAGTGATCCCAGTGTGCCAACAGCTGGGGAGGCACAGGGATGGATTAAGAGTTCCAAGGTTAGAGGCACAGTTAAGACATGCAGACAAACATTGGTGACCTTGGATGCCCACTAAGAAATGACAACTAAGCGATACAAGTTAATGGCTCAGGAGGTCAGAGGGACGGAGGTGTGGGGCACGCCCATGGCTCCCCATTGTTGAGTCTCCCTTTCCCTGATGGCTGGATGAGGAAGGGGTTTGGGGTCATATGAACAAAACCTACATCTTTGCAGACATGACCTTCATCCATGAGGGGAACCACACGCTGGTGGAGAATCTCATCAACTTTGAGAAGATGGTGAGAGGGGACAAGTGCCCCTGGAGTTATGGCCTTGGAAGGGGACAGGGTGGGAGGTTGGCACAAGTTTTTATAGTGATATAACCACAAATGCTTCTTTTAAAATAGTACCTGACTTGGTCCACCGCAAACCAGAGGGGCTGCTCTCTGCTAGGGGTGTGGCTGTCCGTGTCTCCCCATGCCATAGGAGCCCCTCCCAGGCCTCTTCCTGCCCAAGCCCCTCCTGATCGCCACTCTCCTTTCCACACTGGGTTTCTGGGGGTGCCAGGTGAAGCAGATGTGACCGACCTTCTTAGAGTTCCTAGTCCCCAGGAGCACCCCAGCGGGAGCTCGGGCTCCCAGCTGCCCCTAGGCCAGACAGAGTCCTGCCCTTCAGCTCCATTTCATGTGCTTGCCCGCAGAGGATGATGGCCAGAGCCGCGCGGACGCTGCACCACTGCCGGAGCCACAGTGCGGGTAAGCGGTCTGACCCCCAGTGGGAGCCCACCCCACCCACATCCCTTCTGAGGCTGCGGCCTGACTCCCGCCTCTCACTCCACCCAGTGCCTCTCTCGCCGCTCAGAAGCCGCGTGTCCCACCTGCACGAGGACAGCCAAGCCGCGAGGACGTCCACATGTGAGTGGGGCGGGGTGGCGCGGCCTCCGTGCTGCCAGCTCTTCACACCCCGAGGTAGGTGGAGTGTCATCCGAGGGTCAGCAGGCGCAGACAGGCCCAAGGGACTCTCGGAAGGCCACATGTTTAGTGACTGAGGCAAGTAGAAGGGGTTAGTGGGCTCGAGCACTTTCTACAGACCTGCGTTCCTTTGACGGACTTCAGTGGCATGAAATGGGATTGATTTCACCCGCAGTCCATACCACACTGTCGTCATTGCCCTTTTATTTATACATTTCTTTATTTATTCGAATGATATTGTGCACACCTGTGGCTCCATCCTAAGTATAATACTATATCCCCTACAGTGGTGTCCCCCTTGCAAACAAGATAGTAACCACTATCTTGAACAATGGGTTACTTACTGTCTTTTTAAAAAAGTTTTATCATATATACAAACACAATTACTTACATATGTCTTTAAAGTGCCTCCTATATATAATTACAGCAAAATACTCTTGAGGTTTAGCTGTTTATACACTTAGCAAAAGGGGTGTTATGCTGTTTGTAATCTTGGGGACCTGTCTTTTTAGTCTGCTCTTTTCCACAGTGCTGTTCTGTCCTGCTCAGTGGGGTTGGGCACTGTGCTCCTGGGGGCGAGGGCAGGAAGGCAGGTGTAGGGGGAGGGGCCCTACAGAGCAGTGTCACGCCCCTCACCACTCTCCTTTTCAGGCTCGGAGCAGTCCCTGGGTACCCGGAGTCCGGCCAGCAGCTGGGCGTGTGTCCAGCAGCTGAAGGTCATCGACAACCAGCGGGAGCTCTCCCGCCTCTCCCGAGAACTGGAGTCATGAGGAGCAACTGAGGCTGGAGCAGGCACTCCCCGCCGGGAAAGCCAGGGCATGCCCGGGCCACGGGGCCCACAGGCTGGCCGCAGCTGGGCAGGGCTCTCCGTGGAGCGGACTTGAAGCCCTGGAGTGGGCATCGTGGAGACAGCTGTTCACTGTGATGACTCGAGACCAAGGAGGACTTTGAACTGGAATGAGCCAGGGCCCAAGGCCATGGAATGGGGGACAGAGAGGCCCTGGAATGGGTAGGAGAGTGGAGCAAGCGCTGGGACTCTGTTCAATAGAGAGCTCTCCACACCAGGTTTTTTCCAGATCTGTGCCGTGTGGCTTTGTTGTGTGGCCATCTCCAGGCCCCTGCGGTTTATTTTCACAATGGACTGAGCATGTGTGCATGTGTGTGGCATGTGTGTGGCAGTGGAGGGTGCTGTTAATGGGAGAAAGGAGTAGTGTGGGGGGTTTGCTTTCTGTGCCTATGAGATAAACAGCTGGGTGTGGTTAGGGCTGTCTGCATGGGAGTGGTGGTCCCTGAGGAATCATAACTGCAGAGAGAGGGTGTGTTCTGAGGCTGGTCCTGTGGAGGGCAGCAGAAAAGGTCGAGACCACACCCTCTGGCCCAGAAGCTGAGAAAGAGGTGGTGTGGCACTCAGATGGACCCCAAGAGGTGGGTGGAGCAGCCCTTCCACCTTACATGGTCTCTGGGTCCCAGGGTGGACTCAAAAATGGCTGAGAGCTGGTCACAGAAGCAGCTGAAGCCTAGGGTCCTATAGGAGGCTGCTTTACCTACATCTGGATGGCCTGCATCACCCAGATGCGCCACTGGGTCTATGAGGACAGTTACGGCCCCCTGCAGCTAGTGCGTGCCTCACTCATCTGACTGTTGGTTGAAGAATGGAGGCTTTTGGGTGGAGGCCAGTGACAGAGCGGATGCTGGGACAGAGGTTTGTGAGAGCCTCCCCCCCCAGAGACCTGACAGGCTCCATGAAGTGAGCTTTCTCAGGAGTGATGACAGTGGTCCCAAAGTGTCAGTGTTGAGTCCTCTTGTCCCTGCTCCCCAGAATGTGCCCTGGGAACTGTTTCCCTGCAAGACCTCAGGGGAACTCCCTGGAGGAAGCTCCAGGGAGGGGGGCTATCTTCTCTGAGGAAGTTCCAGGGTGGGCCTCAGTTCTCTCTGCCCCCTGCCCCCATGGGCCAGAGCCTGGTAGGGAAAAGTGCATTGCCTGTTTCCTGAGAGGGCTGGAGGCCTGGGCTGACCTCGGAGTAAGCTGGTATGGGGGGCAGAGGATACTGGAGGAAGTGTTCCCACACCTGGAGGGAAGGAGGCACTGGTCTGGCCCTCCCTGTACTTGCTCAGCAGATACTTGTGCTGGGGTTCAGACCAGACACCCCCCCTCACTTCATCCTTATGCTGCTCAATCTCCCAACCTATAGTCATGGGCCACCTTCAAGCTGCTGCAAGAGAGCATAGCTGGAATTATCCCTCAGGTTTCTAATGAATCGGAGCAAGGTGATGAAGACCTTCTCCCTCCATTTCTCCGTCTGTAAGAAGGGTCTGATGGCCGACTCTTAGTGACAAGCCACTAAGACTGCTGCTCTGCCTTTAAAGCTCAGGTGACAACCTCAGGTGGGCCTGTGTCTTTGCCCTGACGGAGGTGGCCTGGAGTGGAGCAGATGGCGGGGGTAAGCCAGTCCGTTCTCTTGTCCATGGTGGTGATGGAGAACTGGGCATAGATGTTTCCAGAGCTGAGCCCTTGACATGAGACCCAGGCTTTGGCAAGTCGGGCGTCCCAGGAATCCTCTTGTCTTCGAACCCATCAGAGGTGCTTTGGCCATGCTGGTGCCCCCACCCGCGGCTGTCATCCTCCCTTTCACGCCAGGTGAGCGCTGCCTTCGGTGATGCAGCCAAGCTGGTGGGGCTGGTTCCTCCATCAGCGACTCTCCTTTTTCTCTTCGGTCATGTCTGTGTCCCCCAAGGAACCTGGGCAGCAGCATGTGAATGTCCTTTCTGTCCTGGACCACCTGCAGCCTCCTAGCTTCTGCCTGTCTCTTGGGCAGGACATCTATTGAGCCTGTTGGGACAGATCTGCCAGTGTTGAGTCAGTGGACTGGGCTGCACATGAGGGGGACGGCAGGGCTCCCCACCAAAAGGGATGGCAGAGCTCCCCACCGAGGGGGAGACAGGGCTCCAACATCAAGGGGGAGTGGCAGGGCTCCTGGTGGTGTGGCTCCTGGCGATATTCTCCTCGGCTGTCCAGGAGAAGGCTGCTCCTTCTTGTGTTTCCCGGCAGTCCAGGTTGTCTCCTGGGCTGTTTCTCACCTTACAATAGCCAGAAAGGCTGCTGAGAAGGAAGTGTGAATCAGGCCTTAAATTGTTTACCTCAAAGGGGATAATGGAAGGGACTATGTGTCCATGGGGGAGACAAAAGAGGGACTAATTCCTCCTGTCGAACCCCCTCACTCTTCCCCTACCCACTATCCTCAGCTTCTCTGAGGGCCAGGTCAGGACTATAATTGTGGGGTGCACACAAAAAAGGGTCATACCTCTCTAGGAGGCTTAGCAGGATCTGGTGAGGGGGTAAGGCAAGCTGGGGAGCGCTGCCCCTCTCCAGAGGAGCCAACTCCCCTCTCTTGCAAACCTCACCAAGCAGAACGAACCAAGCAGGCAGCCAGTGTTCTCCAGACCCACTGCTTGCTTATTTCCTCACCTTTGTGTCTCTGGACAGCCCTGGACCTTCACTGCCCTGCTTCCCAACCAGTAGAGATTCCTCTCCAGGTTGCTATGGTCATGGCAGTTATGCTAATGCAGACGTGAGTGTTTCATCCTCTCCAGCAGGCTTTCACTATCCTGAGAGTAGGGCAGATTTTTTTTTCAAGATTTATTTATGTATGCATACAGAACTGGGGTACAGACCAGAGGTAAAGGGGCAGTGAGAGGATCACCAGAGTGGGGAGCAGAACAGGCAGGTTGATGAAGTACACTGCTGAGGGGAGCAGTGGGTGAGACTGGAGAGGTCTGCATTATGTGGATCACCTCCGGGGCTGGTGATGGAACTCACACCAAAGCTGCCGCTAGCTTTGCAGTGCTTCAACATGCTGCACCACCAGGGAGGGCCCAGGGCAGGTATTTTTACCCCTGTTAACAATCAGAGAAACTGAGGCACAGGAAGGATGGTCGCATAACTGGTTAATGGCAGGTAGACCGAAGGAACTGAACATAGACTAGTCTTGCCTGCACTATCAGTCTCGCCCTTTCCTCGGGTCAGAAGTGGTCTACCCAGTGTTTCTGTCTCTTGTCAGAATAGACCCAGCATCTACGTCCCTCTTTTCTTCATTTTTAAACAAGTATTATGGGCTTGCAGTGGGTGCTGTGAGTCAGACAGTCAGTCCTGGCTCTCAGCAACAGTGAACACAGTCAGGCAGGTGGACACAGAACCAAGGCCAGCTGGAGGACTAGATTCCACAGAAGACCAGGCCTTGGAAGTCTGCACCTCCAAGACAGCCTCACTGCTCACCCCCAGCATTTAGACCCCCAGCTTCTCCCATGAGGGAATTCAGGCTCTCAGCCCAGTTCTCCACCCCACACTCCAGCATAGCTCTGCATCCTAGAGTTGAAGCTGTTCTCAGGTCCCTACTGGGCCAGCCTTCCAGTGTCTTGAGTGTTGGAAACAGCAGCTGGTGGGTGGAGTGAGACCTTTGACCTGGCAGCCATTTTTCACCCCTCCTTCCCTTCCATGGACTACAAGTCAGAAAATAAATGTATCCCCTTTCCTTAGGGAAGGTCCCGGGCATCTCACACACCTGCCAGGGCTACAGTCCTACATTAAATAAGTATCCACTCAGGTCTGTCAAGCTGGCCCTGCCAATCCAGGCTTCTGCTCCCTGAGACTTGAATCTTCAGCACCTGAGTCTGTCTCCTGCAGGCCAGTGACAGGGCAGCTGAGGGCAGCTCCCAGTGATGAGGAAGTAGGGTCATGGACTCAGCTGTACTGTGACAGCAACTTTTCTCCCCTGCCTGGGGCCTTCCTGGAGCAGGTGGCCTTGGTGACCAGTGGGGGTGCTGTTGTCCATGGTGGGAAGAGCATGAACTGCGAACCCCAAAAGGAAGGAGGCTGGGTCAGACTTCAGACCCACTTTTCGCGGGGGTGGTGTGGGATTCTTACAGCTTAGACTGGCTGGTGTGGATTGTAGGTCTGCCGTGTTCTTGGCCCGGGGGAAAGTCTGAGCCTCAGTTTCCTTGCTGGGGTGTGAGCTGCGTGCAGCCAGTGTTTCTAGGCTGTGGAGTGAAGAAGGCACACTTTCTTGGCCCTCAGGGGTCTCCAAACAGCACAGGGGTGGAGAGAAGCGACTTTTTGCTGAAGCCGTGACACCTGGACAGTCAAGCTTACTCAGCCACCCAGAAGAGTGCCCTATAAACCAGAGCTTGAGGTGGCACCAGCGGGCGTCAGGCCCTCCCCTTGCGGGCAAGCCGTGTGTGGGGCAAAGGAGCCGCAGTTTCAGTAGCCACAGAGCTTTGGAAAAGGCCCTTCCTTGGTGCCTTATACAGGAACAGAGATCTGGACTAATAGGGCTTACATTTTTTCTCCTTGCTCTTAATGTTTATGACTTAGCAGCTCAAGTCATCAACAGGTGAAGGGGCATGAAGCTTCGGACTCCTACCCCTTCCCGGTGTTCACCTCCTGCGGGCTGCTGAGGGAGGGACTCGACTATCAGCAGTCTCCTAGGAGGTTCTCTCTCCTCTGTGTTGCCTCCAGCTGCCTGCCTATGACTGCTGGCCTCTCCTCTTCAGTTCTAGTTGCTTGCAGAAGCCCCCTGTAGTGTAGACCCCTAACCAGGGGAAAACATAATGGTTTGTTAGGATACTCATGAATGCTTGGAAGGGCCCCGTTAAGGGGAGAATAGGAAGAATCTGGAGACAGTGGAATGCTAGGGGCAGTGGTCAAGGCCCATAGCAT